CAAAACAGAAGCTGGACAGCAAGGAGGAGAGTGCTGGCCTGGAGCCCCAGAAGGCAAAGGTACCCGGGGGGCTTGTCCCGTCCCATCGGGGTAGGGGGTGTGGGTACAGGGGTCTCTCACGCTGTGACTCAGCTTGGTAGCTTGCCTGTGCCCCCCCCAGTCACCACACTGACGCATTTCCGCGTTTTCTCCCCAGGACGGCTACCTCTCCCGGTGTCCATCGCGGCCGCCCACCCCCTCAGCGCTGTCCCCCAGCCCCGCCAGCCTCTCCTCGTACCACGGCGACGACAGCGACAGCATCAGCAGTCCCGCCTGGCCCCGCACTCCCTCCAGCCCCGTGGGTCCCCTTTGTCTTCTTCACTGGCCTTATTTTCATTTTTCTGCTGTTTGTTTTCATTTCGTTTTGTTTTGTCTGGCTGCTCGGTTTGTTTGTCTGCTGTTTGTGCTTTTCGATGGTGAGTGTGTGTCTGAGAGAGATTACCAGTCTTTATTTTGACCCGAGGGAGATGGAACAGCCATTTATAGAGGAGGTCTCTTCAGACGGCCAGTACTGGCCCACTCTCTCACTCTCTCTCTCACTCTCTCTCTCTCTCTGTGGCGTCACCTGCAGCCGAAGCCCAACTCCTCCTCCACGCTGAGCGGTGAGAAGATCACCAAGCTGTACCAGATGGGTGTGGAGCCGGAGCGCCAGGCGTGGGTGGAGCGCTACCTGGCCTTCATGGAGGATCGCGGCACGCCGGTCACTAGCCTGCCCAGCGTGGGCAGGAAGCCGCTGGACCTGTGCCGCCTCTACATGTGTGTGAAGGAGATTGGCGGCCTCGCCACGGTAAGCGAACACTCAGCCAGCACTGCCAGATTCACCGAACGCGGGTTCGGACTCTTGGGTGCCTGTGACCGGAAGGTCGTCGGCTTGAATCCCGCAGCCGCCAGAGTGATGTCACCGTCGGGCCCTTAAGTGAAGCTGTCTGACCCTGCTCTCTTAGTTGCACCTTGCTTTCGATAAAAGCATCTGCTAAAAAAATAAATGTAAATGAGCCCAATTGCACATTAAAGGACTTATTTGCAGACTTTTTCCTGGTTGTTCATTACTGTATCCCTAATGATGCTCCAGAAGTCACTAAGGCCCAGATGACTCCGCCCCCCATTTCCACAGTCCATGGTACATGAACTACAGACAGCAAATTAGCTATTTGGTTCCACTGAAAATTAAAAGGTAATATGAGCTGCAGGCAGGATCCCCTATGGGACGCCCCAAATTTGGCCATTGTGGTCACACCCTGGAGCTGCCCAGCTGGGTGTCACACACTGCCCCCGCCTCTCACTGAACATGTGTCCACCCCCCCTGCCCCCCTGCCCTTG